TACCCTGAAGCTGTTAGACTCATGACTCTCCAACCAGGATAATCACTGTGAAAAATCACATCATGTTGCTGCTGATCTGTTTCATGTTGCTGTGTTCATACTCATCTTCTCACAGACTCATGTTCGTGCTGCTGTTTGGCGTATTGGTTTTGTACCACTAGCGCATAGTGTATTTTTAGTTCATATCTTAGATCTTATTAGTGTTTTTCTTTTACAATTAATACTTTTGTTGGATGTAACTGGGACCCTGTGTACACAATTTCGTTCCACCATATGTACCACATGAGATGCAAATGACAAAGAAACCTTGACCATTTTATCTTTTTCCCCCACAGGGCGGCTGTGGCTGAGTGGTTAGAGCAGTCGTCCTCCAATGGGAGAGTTAGGGGTTCGATTCCACCAGCAGTCACATGCCAGAGCGTCCTTGGGAAATACACTGAACCCCTCATTGCCTCCGACGTGTGTCCCATCTGTGTATGAATGTGATACATCTCTGATTAGGCTTTATAGAGATCTAGTAGAGTGCTGTATGAATGGATAAATGAGGGCACAGATTGTGTTGTAAAGAGCTTTGAGTATCTTGATAAGATAGAAAGGCGCTACAATCCATTTAGTTTTTTTAATCTATACACCTCATTAATTGAGTGAGTTAAGATGGGATACTGTACTTCCTTTTGTCTTTAGGTCACATATTAAACAGTGTTGGAATTATTATTTTTTTTAAATCAGAGTTTTTTTATTGTCATATGCACCACATGTGGTGGAACGAGATTATGTACACAGGGTCCAAGTTACATCAAACAATAAAATGTAAAAGAAAAACAGCAGTAAAATCTAAGATATGAACTAAGAAATGGATCAACTAAATATACACTAAGCACTGATGGCACAAAAACAATAAAAACAATATTCCGAGTCTGTGTGAGCAGATGAGCATGCATGAGCACAGCAATGTGGTTTTTCACAGTGATTATTCTAGTTAGAGATTCATGAGTCTAACAGCCTCAGGGTAGAAGCTGTTCCTCAGTCTAGTGGTTGTACACTTAATGCTCCTCAACCTCCTTCCTGAGGGGAATGGGGCAAAAAGTGTGTGTGCTGGGTGAGTGGGGTCCTTCATGATGCAGGTGGCCCTCTTCCTGCATCTGGAGGTGTAGATGTCTGTGATGGTGGGGAGGCTGACTCTGCCAGTCTTCTATAAAATACAATATAAATATAAAATATTGAGTTCTTATAAATAAATCTAATTTCAATGAAAATTTAAAGCAATTGTTTAATTTCAGCATCTTTAAATCTTTCGGAATAAAACGAGCTGTGGCA